TCCGACCCACATACCTCTGTTTCACAGAGGATTTCAACTCTGCTCTTGTCTGCCATGATGAAAATGTAAAAATGTAAAAGGAAATAGAGCTGCTGAGGTCAGGCTAGATTAGCTGCTTCCAGAGTCTCCAATGGATGACTCTGCTTAACTGTTTAAAAAAGCCTCTTTAAAAAAGTGCCCTCTACAGGAGGAGGCGAGAGAACCACATGCCTCATCTACATAAGGATTTTTTCGGCTTTTAACCCTTGCTTAACTCTGCTCAAGTGATCCTAAAGTCAGGCTAAATGAGGCACGTGGTTCTCCTGCCTCCTCCTGTAGAGGGCACTTTTTTAGAGGCTTTTTTAAACAGTTAAGCACTAAGCAGAGCCATCCACTGTGACTCTGGCAGCAACTACCTCAGCCTTTTTCCTTTTAATTTTTTTTTCTTTTCATGACAACAGTGGTGAGGCCCTGCCTCCCCTGACTGCACGTCACTGCCCTCCAACATATTAGTCCTGGACCACAATTTGCCAATTATATTTTAGTTCACAATCACATGTTGTATGAACTTATCTCATATGGCTAGTCAGTGAATAAGCTTCTCATGCAGTCACACCTATATTGGGATTACTTCTATATCCTCTCCAGAGCCAGCAAGATTAAAATATTGTGATACTGGGCAGGACAGATCCAAATTCAAATGCCCACTGACCATAAAGTTCACTAAGAGATTTCCCATCAGTTTTTCTTAATCACATGGTTGTTATGGATTCAATAACCTCTGTGTAAACCATCTGAAGGAGGGTGGGGATTTAAACCCCACTGCTGAACCGGTAGTCCTTGATTTATGACAATTGAATCCAAAATTTCTATTGCTAAGTGAGACAATTAAATGATTGAAATGTAATGTGATTTGAATATAAGTAAGTGAATTTTGTCCCATTTTAAGATGTTTCTTGCCACAACTGTTAAGTGAATCCTTGCAGTTGTTAAGCTAGTAACACAAATTTTAAAGTGAACGTGGCTTCCCCATTGCCTTTGGTCATCAGAAGGTGCACAAAGCAATCCCATGACTCCAGGACACTTCAACCGTCATAAATACATGGCAGTTGTCAAGCTTCCAATTTTGATCTCAGGACAATGGGGAAGGCTACAACTCTTGTGTGAAAAACATCCGTAAGTCACTTTCTTCAGTGCCACTGTAACTTCAGTCACTAAATGAAAGGTTGTAAATCAAGGACTACCTATACAAGACACTGTGATAAGGTGGGGCAAAGAAGGAAATCGACCGAAAGTCATCTCAGGGATGTAAGGATGTGGCAGGACTTAGCCAGCGCTGAGTGATCTCAAAAGAAGCCGAACAGGTTAAATATGGGTGAAAACATAGTTACAGAAGACAACCAAATCCCAGAATTATATAAGTAGTGGAGGTAAAACAACAACAATCAAAGGAGCTAATGCTAAATCACCCTCGAGCTTCTGACAAAATCATAAATCACAGGGACTGGAGCTTAACTGTCGGAGAGATTGAGTTTTTTTTTTTTTTTTTAAAAAGCCACTTTATAAAAATAAGCGAGACCTAAATGAAGAAAAATGAAGGAATTAGTAACCCCGTGTCAGCTTTGCAAAAGCCAGTTCATGTTATTTCCCTCCCCCCTCCCTCTGTCCCAGCATCATTTCAGTAACTGTCCGCGTCATAAAGTGCTCATTGCGGGCACGACGTGGCCGCTCAACCTCCCACCCCTAAAAAAAACCCTCATTGAACCTCGGCATCAACTCTCTCTCACCCGCCTCCTCTCCCGACCGGAAACGTTTATGGCGCTGTTATGCCAACGGTTGTGAGATCACAAGCGCTTCCAGCCAATAGAATCAGTGCTCTCACACCTCGGTGAGAGGGAATCGCTTTAGCTGCCTCCCATTGGCGGGCCTGTTCCTCGCAGTTCTCATTAGCATAACACGTCTTCCCTTCTTAGAACCCTGAGACGCACCGACGCGTGGGGGACGGCTTTATCTGACGGCCACTGACCGGCAGTGGGCGTGACCTCCCCAGACGGTCGCAGCCAATAGGAAGGGAAGGCCCTTTTCCTTCCCTTCGCCTCACTCTAGCCTCCCTGAACCGACTCCGCTTCTAGAGGAAAGGAAGGCGGCGCTCGGAGCTCCTCATCCAGTGAGGAGCGAGCGGTAGTCTGACAAGGGGCGTGGCCTCGCTCGGCAGCCCCGCCCCCTTTCCCCCAACTGGCAAGCGCGAGAGATGTACCAGTGCAGTGGAAGCAGCTGTTGGAGAGAAGAGGCGAGCAAGAGAGGAAGGAAACGGGAAGCGGGGGTCTCGGGATGAACGGCGCGGCCCGGGCTCTCTTCGACAGCAAGGAGCGCGTCCTGTTGCTGGGCGAGAGTTTCGAGAAGCAGCCGCGCTGCGCTTTCCACACCTTGCGCTGTGAGTCGAAGCGGGAGCTTTAACAGGCGGAGAAAAGGGGCGGCGGAAAAAGTTGAGGCTTCGCGAGTGAGCTCCGGCTTAGGAGTAGTGGGGACCCCTCGGCTGTTATAGTCAGCCCGTAAGGCAAGAGGCCGGCAAGAGAAGGTTGTGGTGTGTGTGTGTGTAAACTTCGGGGACAGAGACTCAAAATCTGTGCCAGGGGAATCGAATTTTTCAGGATACGTTGTTAACCCTGGTGGTTTTTAGCCCGAAAACCTAAATTGTACCCCTGCTGACGTTTTAGAAGAGTCTTTCGAGGGAGAAGGGACGCGTGTGTCTGTGTGTCTGTGTGTTCAAATATGTCCATAGTATTTGGGCTTTTGATTTTCAGGAGAAATATAGGCAAAAATGTCATCCATTTGAACCCTATTTATTTTTGGAAAAGCAGATTGAAGATCAATATTTTCACTGCCTGACTAGGTGGCTCAGTGGCTACGACGCTGAGCTTGTCGGCGTTCGAATCCCTAGTTCAGGTCTCCTACGTGAGCAGGGGGTTGGACTGGATGACCTCAAAGGTACCTTCCAACTCTGTTACTGTGTATGTATGTGTGTGTGTAATGCAGTACATACAAACCCACGCCCTCAACCCATACACACTGTGTGTGTGTGTGCGCGCGCGCGCGCGCGTGTGTTGAGGGTGTGGATTTGTTTTAGATGGCAAAGCAAAACTCAAAACTCAGGCTGCTTTTCCCGCAAGAGGATGAAGGGGAAAGAGCCAGCTTCAAGGGATGCAATTATAAACGCAGCGAGGCAGCGAGAGATTTCTCCTTGGTTCCGGAGTAAAGTTGCGGTGGGAAAGCTCGCCTGCCTTAAGGGGATTAAACGTACCGTATGTATCGGTTTCGTTCTGTGACTTCTCCGCTTAGTCAGTTTAAGAGCCCCTCTGCTTTTTTTTTTTTTTTTAAAGGGAAAAGCAATTCGAGAAACAGGTAAGGGGAACCTCCTGAAGTTGACTGGGAGGTGATCGGAAGGGAAACAAAGTTGGCGGGATTGTGGCGTGGCTTGGGAGGGATTTGAGAAATAAGCTGGTTTTCCAGAGGTTGCCCAACTGCCTCCCTATCTCATAAAAGACAAGTGTTGAATAATAGTTCCCGGCTAGATGAGCTTTTATAGGTGAGA